ACGTGTTCACATTTTGACTTTGACATATATCTTCTGAAACTTTCGGAAATACGTATCAGAGAACTTGATCACATATATATTATTTAACCTTGGTTTTCGATCTTGAAGTGTTGATTCGATTTGTTCACATTCTGACCTTGATATATATCTTCTGAAACCTTCGGAAGTACGTATCGGAGAACTTGGTTAGCCTTGAACTTGACCTTGACGTATATGTTCGGAAACATGACTTGATATATTCTCAGTTGGTTTCCACGGAGCTATTTTCAATAATAGCCGAAATCTCTGAAACAATTTTAGGAATTCGAAATTTGTAAAAAGCTTTGTTCCACAAGTTTACAAGCCGCAAGAGAATTTGATCGATTCATAGTCGGCCTGTGGCTTAGAGAGCGTTTCCAGGCGAATATATTTTTCTTATTTTCAAATAATTAAAAAGACTTTATAATGCATCAACTGTTACGACTTTTGAAAAAAGAAAATGTAAGTTTTTTAGTATGATCCTACGATCTTATATGGTACCTTGCTTTTAAACGATATTAGAATATTTCCTGATTATTATAATTGGGAAATAAATAGAATTTTAAAAGTTTTTTTTAAGGGCGCGCTCCCTAAACTTTCTCAATGTCCATCTTCTCGGTAATGCCGGCTGCGAATTGCCGTCACTTACGGAAAAGACATGTCCGGAAATATGTGATTATTGCATGTGGCTATTGTAATTGTGGACAGAACAAGGTGAGATTTATCACTCATTATCCCTGCCTACTTCCCAGTTAAACAATAAACATTAATTACTCTTGCCTGGCCTTGGATATAAAAAGAAAAAATAAATGCGACCCGATGGCATAGCCCAACTTTCTGTAGTCAAATGTGGTTCACACAACTGTACTTTACATAAGCTTACTGGGCTGCCAGCTTCATTCATTCGATACGTGCGAAATCATGAAAATTGTTGTTTTCTTCAGTACTGTTTTCAGTTCAAAAACAGCAAAGACTAGTTTTGTAAAGATTACTGGGGCCATTTACAGATCAAGTCATTACCTTCTTCCGTATGCACTTGTAAGTGCCCAGATTGTATTAACTGCAGTAGGACATCTTGGGGTACATTCGAAAGAGCAGAAGCAGAGTAGAACATGCTTTCCGTAGCTGGATTTGGATTAAATTTTTTCTCCGGGGCAGTACTTATTGCGGTGCATTGATTTTGCCTACTTCCTCCGACGACTGTTACCATATCCTGATCCATACCTTGACCGAAACACTTCTTTTCATCGATACTTACATCGGCATTGTTTTTATTCTCCAAATTATTGTCAAGGTTAGAAGATTTATCCGTTCCAATACGACCATCTGTCGCGGTATGACATTCGAATTCTGAGGAGTCATCCGATTCATTACCAGATGATACCGGCGATCGATCGTCCTATAACAAGAAAAAACAAGCGAATCTTAAATAGGAAATGCTTAAGATGCGTAAGACTAAATGTCATCCTATCTGATTGCAAAGATCAGAAATTGTTAAACTTTCAATCTCAGCAATATTTATATTATAATGTAATAATCAAATGGGGGATATAAACACCGAATTGGTACCCAAGTGCTATATAAAGCGAAACAAGTAAAACTGTCGCAGTTAGGCAAGACCGACAACCCAATGCAATTTTTCATAGCTTTTATAGCTTGGTCTTAAGCGAAGACATACCTTGGATGGATAAACACGTAGTGGAGGGTCGGGTCCAAAATGTGAACTGATCTAAATTGATCAAAAGTAGCTTTCCCCTTAAAGCCCTAATCAGTTATTTTTCACCAATTTTTGGCAAAAAACATTAGATTTTAGCACTAGATTAGAACTTGGTGCTTATGTTATTTTTTTGTCAGAGCCGATAGCCTGTGCTGCTAGTGCTCAATGTTTTTTTTTTAGTCTAAGAATTTATTTCATTAGTCTAAAATTATAATAATAATAATATTTTTTTGTCAAATTTTTTCCCGATTTCCGATCGATCGGTCTGTCTTAAGTGCTTCATCTGATGTTCATATAATGACTTTTCATAACGGGGCGTTATATGGCAAATGATCATAAGAGTAATCCCATCTAAACTGTTTTCAGTAACATTCGTCCTTGGGTCAAAACATGTCCGTGTATTAAATTTGATCAAAATATCTCGAAAAATTGCAAACTATAGGTTTAACACAAAAATACATGAACATAGTCATAAAACGGACATAGGGACAGACAAGCTTAGAGCGATTCAGAATGTTAGTCTTAAAATAATTTTAGTTGTTGTTGTTTTTCTCCTTCTTCTATTTAAAGCAAGTTACATTAAAGTTACGCCCAATAACTGGCAGCCATATGAATATGCATAAGAAAAATATCATTATTTACAATTCCTGAGCATATAATTAATATATGTATGTAACGAATCGAAATATTTACTTCATATATATACCTATACATGTCTGTGTAGGCGTGCAATAGTGTGACAAGAAGTAAACGGCTATGGCGAATTTATTCATTTTATGCCCGCCTACCATCTGTACAACCATCTAATCGTTGAAAAGTTAAATGATGATCAACAACAGTAAAGAGAGTATAACAAACATATACATTTGCAAGTGCATAAACATACATACATATAAATATATAATACAATTAGCATTTTGATTTACATTTGTATTCGTTAACGTAAAGAGTAAAAAAGAGAGGGTTTTGCAATCTGCTTCTTCTTGATCATAAACAGGTCTTTTTAAGCGCTCTCTTCATGTCCTCTCTTAAATAATTCAAAATAAAAATTTTAAAGGAAAATTTTTTAAAAAATTTCAAGCAAGAGTTTAGTCTTAACTTAAACTTCGTGGAATTGTGTTGTGTTGCTTTGATCAAAGCTCTTGTTGTTCCTTTCTATTTTTTCGCAGTTAAAAAGTGTCTTAATTTCAAGTCTTTTTTTTTTTTTAGTTTTTTTCTCATCTACGGCTAAGTAATTTTAAGTGTATTGTGATGTTACGCATTTTACTAAAAGCCTCATGGTTTAGTAATTTTAAGCTAAAGGCAGAAACAGTAAGTAAAATATTATTTTATGTTATTATATATATAAAATTAAGTTTAAAAAATAAATATATAAAAAAAAAAAAAAATTATATATATTATATATATATGTATATATATGTATACATATATATATGTTAACATAAAGATGTGATCAAGTTAATTAAATATAAATTAAAAAAAAAAAAAAAACAGTTGTCCGTTTAAGAAAATTATTTTCTTATTTAGGCAGATGAAAATGTTTTTTTTTTTTTCATTTTTTTTATTTTTTTTTCTTAAAAAATTAAAAATGAAAATAAATAAGAGAAGAGAGTAAAAGTTAAGAAGCTACCGTCGCTTTTAGGAAGCGACCATAATCAACGACCATTTATAGGAAAAATTATTCGTTACGCATGTACGTCCGTTTAAAACTGTTTGTTATTAAAATGTATATCCGGGAAGCGGTTACAACAAATTTTCTTATGTGGGCTTATTAAAAAGGTGAAACATGAATTTTAAGTGAAATTTTTTCATCATTCTTTTAATCACTTTCAAAACGAATCATTTTACGTTAAAAAAAATATTTTTAATTTACACTTGGGTAGGGGGGAGAGGGGAGGGTGGTTTGCGCCTTAGATGTGTTAAGGAAATAATTTTAGTTTTTTGATTTTATAAAATTTTTCAACTTTTTTATTTGGAAATATTTGTCATTTAATATGTGTAACATAAGTTAGTTAGTTGTTGCTTAGTCGGTCGGTCAGTCGTCAGCTGCGAAAGCTCAAAGGAACTTGGAAAAGTGGATTTGCAAAAATAGATAGATATGCCTAAACTAAAAGTGCCACTGTTTCATTATTATTTTTAAAAAGTTTTTCACACAAAGCTCCTTCCTATCTATGGCATCGGATGTTTTTTGCTTGCAGAATTTTTATTCATTTAGATAGACAAGCTTTAGCAAACCTCTTTTTCGCTATAAAGTGATTCTTCTAAATTGACCTTTTGCCAATTTTTGTCATTTTGACGTCAAAATACGAAATTAACTTTGTTTTATTAATTTTTTATATTTGAAGGTCTTAAAGACCAATTTTAGAATGGGAACTAAACTATTTCCGACAGCCCAACTCTTAAGAGGTAACTAGGAACATTATACTCGGACACTATCGAGACTTTCACATCCATCACCGCTTAATACTGCTGAATACTATGTAGACTTTGTACGCTTTTCTGCATCTTGTTTTTGGGCGCTGCTAACCTTTTTTGTACAGGTGCTGCCGGACCGCCCAAAGAATATGCCAATGTCATTTTTTATTGTTATACTTGTTGTGATTTATGACTAACGAGCAAGAAATCAAATGTTTTTAAAGTCAGGGATGATCTCAGATTATATTGCACTTCATATACGCCGTGTCCTGTAATCGGTTTGACTCAGTTCAACACCTACTTGGAAGAACTTTATCGAGAATGCATATCACAGGCATTGCACTAACAAGCAGGCAGGCAGCCAGACTAGCCTAAATCCGTTAAGAATTCGATGCTGATCTGATATATATATATATATATATATATATATACACTTAAAGGGGTTTTGAGGTTGATGGAATGAATGTAGTCCAAATCCTTCGGTGATGGCCATGATAGTTTTAAAGCGAAGCTTGAAGGCACATTATTTCAGCGTAACACTTTATAGCATTTGATGATTAATTTCAATGAAATATTTTATGTATTTTTCAATTCTATGTCTTCATGTGTTAAGCAATAAAATTTCTTGAATTTTTTCAATCCTATGCCTTGGTGTCCTCCCAGTATTAAGCAAAGAAATTTCTTGATAGTTACTAAAAGAGCGACGGATTTCATTATTGTTTTTAAATTTATTCAAAGAAAGCTACCATCCTATGAGCATCGGGTGCTTGTTCAGACACAATTTGTAAATAAGTTGGAACTGAAGTTTTATAGTTAATTGCGGATGTAGTGATTGCATTTTTGCAATAAATACGCAGATAGTCCCTGCCGAACGTTTGGGTGTCCGTTTCTGTCGAGTTTGTTCCGTTGGACATCAACAGTTATAGACAAAAATTTGAAACAATTTTCGATCTTTTCCGAGATTGTCTTAGTTTGTTCGACATTGTCGGCGTGTATGGGTGAGCAGAGTACGTCCACTTTGTAGCCTTTCATTCTTACACAATCAAGGACAAATTGTGGCTTCTTACTTTCATTTTTCTGACTGAGACGATTCACAGAAGTTACTCGGCAAATTGATGGGTTTTTGTCGATTGTGGGATACAATGCTGACAAATAACAAAATGGGTGTATTTCCGAAAAAAAGGACTAGATATACATATTTGCTCCATTGTAGCATTAAAACGCAATCGATAAAATTTAGAGATATCTACTTTCTTTTGCAAAATTTTTAAGTTTAAAATGCATGTATGTGCATGTATGTATGTGAGTTTAGTGTTAGTTAAACGATTTTTTTGACTATTAGCAAAATGGCGGCGGAAAAGCATATCAAAGTGATTTCCTTTTAAGCGATCAAACTCTCTTTAGTAGAATACAAGTCATAAGAACAATTTCCAATTTCACGCTAGACTTGGAGCAATTGGTAGAGATGTGCCATGTCTGATTAAACCGCAATAAGTTCAAAAGAATAGAAGTTCAAATAGAAGGAGAAACTAATTTTTGAGTTAATAGCGTCGTTAAGTGAATACGACATCAAGCTCCTGGGGTATCCAGGATTTATTTCGCTAATAAACAGCTGCGCCCCGTCCGTTGTGCTTGAGTTACTTTCCAGTGGCATTTTCGAAAAAATCCTTTACTTCAAATTGCTTGTTTTTAATGAAATTTTGGTAAGAAAATTTCTAAAAACATTAAGAATGACCGACGGACGTGACGAGATTATTAAAAACTTTGCTACTTGCCTTATACCATATATCCAATGAAGGTGGATTAAGATGACTTGTTATACTCTTCTGATCAACGCTATCTAATCATGAAAACATAGAACAAAGTCACAAACCTTATTTGCCTGAAATGGAGTTTTTAGGACTGGAGGAGGACACGTCAGACGCTTAGTATGCTTTTTATATATCTTCCTAAACATTTTGGTTGATCTCTTGCAGTTCATTTTGCTGCGTTCTTTCTTTATTTTTTTACTAATGTTATCAGTCAAGCACTATTTTCTATGACCCGTCTCGATCTTGTTAAAATTGCCGCACAGGAAGAGCCCTGAAAATTAACCCTTGACTGTAAGTATGTTCTTGCTTTTTCAATGTATAGCTAAAAAATTTATTTTATTTTTCATTCATTTCCCGGTACATACATATACATATTTTTTACATGTAAATCCTTGAGCTAAGGCCAAGTGTGCCCCCAGTTTGTGACATCCATTAGGCGCCCTTTAGGCACTATTCAGCACTTCTTGATAAGGATGGGATCGCGAGTGGTTGCAAGTTTTTTTTTCTGGATCTAGACTTGCAGTAATGTGAGTTTTTCACAGTTTACCCCAAGTGCAGGAAGGCAATAACAATTTTTTTTTTTGGTTGACAGGATTTAAAGATAAGCATAATTCGCCCATAATAACTAGGAAATAGCTTCATTTTGCTTAACTTTAAAGGCTTATTATATTTTAAAGTTCAATGTTAAATGAAAACCACGCCTACTTAAAATATAAACAGCTTTCAGGGGAAAAGGATATATGGCAAGCCAGATCGAAGTGAGCTAATAGATTGCAGCTGGAATTTCGACGACAAAAACACAATAATCGCTATCGGTCCAAATCCACTTAGAATCTAGTAAGAAACAAAGTTTTATCCAAGGATAGGACAGAGAATTCTAGAACATCGTAAGAATAACAATTCAGCTTGAGCGGCTAGCTTTGCCAATGGCTATGTCGACACGTTGTTCAAAACTCAACTTTGAATCTTATATGAAATACTGATCCGGCGGGTGACTTATAGATTGCAAAAAGTGCTTTTGTAGGTCCGAGAAAGAAAGGAAACCTAGCCTTTCCTATCCTATCATCAAGGATTTTGTTTAGAGCACATAGCACTGACAAGATGAAGCAAAAACTTTTAACAAACCACCCTACCTTTCTATACAATAAGTTCAATACACTATCTACCACACTAAACAATAAGTATTCCATTCATTAATGCATAAGATTTGCACAATGATGCATGAAACACTCTTCGAGTTTCTTATTTATGGGAAACATTTTGTCCAAGGAACCTTTCTCGGAGGCTTCTGTTTATAACTAAGGAAATAATACGCTATTATAGAGCCTATCCTATTAAAAGTATTCCTAACTATTTTCCTATTAATTTCATTCTCTCCGCATTCGTCATAAGTAGAGTGTATTAAAACAGGGATAGTTGCAATGAAGCCTTATTCATACGGTGCCCAGAGCTCATTGGACCAATTATGCTTCACTTGACAGTCTTCGCGTTAGTCAGCTTCAGGTCGTCATCTTGAGGTTAATTTATCTAAGACATATCTATGTTCTGTGTGCCATGCCTGACTTTCTATTAACAAGGCATGCAACTTCATGTTGACCACATTGTACAGTGATTTGTTTGTAAATGGAGAAAGAAAAGATTTTTAAAGGGCGTTAATATCGTCTTTAAGCGCTGCCTACTTTGCATAATAGAAGATTCTTTGTACTCCTATTCTTCTACTTTGTGCCTTTTCAATTAATTAGGCATAACTGTTTTAACTTTATTCGCGTTTCATTCAAAATCCCAATGATGCATGTCTTCCTAAAAGTGCGCCTGCTTGTAAAAATAGTTACTTAAGCGGTACTTTTCAGAATTGATGCACTGTTGTTAAGGTGTCATTCTTACCTCACTATCTCACTACCTCTACCTACATATTTTTGTCAAAAAAAAAAAAAAAAATGGAGGAATTTCTTGCAAGCCAAAGCTTGAATAGCAAATCTTATTGTAATCGCGTGTTTAGTTTGTTGAAACATGCATTGAATTTTGAAAAACTTTCCATTTTAGGAAAGTTAGGGCAAGTTAGGAAACTAAGCCAAGGTCGGATGT